ATCGAAGAGTTTACGGAAGTCAAGGTGTTTTTTGAAGTTTGAAGTTTTGAAGTTTTTTCAATTACTGATTCGAACAATTTTCTTATAATATACATTAATTGGCTGATGTTATGATGCAAGTTATTCATCTCCTTGCATAAAGGTTTTCAACACTCCACGATTCTGTTACTTTGATCGAATCTGATGCCATTATGTTCCTGTGTAGCATTTTGCACCACGGCTCCCTTCCCAATGGGAGCCGGTCGGCCGAGCGGACAGCACGCGGGACTTGTGATCCTGTGGTCCTGGGTTCGATCCCAGGCGCCGGCGAGAAACAATGGGCAGAGTTTCTTTCACCCTTTGCCCCTGTTACCTAGCAGTAAAATAGGTACCTGGGTGTTAGTCAGCTGTCACGGGTTGCTTCCTGGGGGTGGAGGCCTGGTCGAGGACTGGGCTGCGGGGACACTAAGCCCCGAAATCATCTCAAGATAACCTCAAGATAACCGGCCACGGGAGGGGGGGTATGGGGTGCATAATAAAGAAACGAAATGACCAAAAATCTATTGATTTGTTAAATATAGAAGATAAAGACCAAACTCATCTTTACATTACTTTAAGAAGAGGGCGCCGCAGACAGCAGACAGTATTTTTCGTCACATCACCACCAACGTGGTGCTCCAATCCTGTCCTCGACTCTCCCACGGGACTCGTAAACCGCCCCGTCACTCTTGACCCCCCCCCCCTTTCCCGTCCTCCCCTTCCAAACCCCCCTTTCCCGTCACCTCAAAGCGACCTCCTCCTCCTCCCTTCCACCCCTCTCGCTACTCCCTTTTCTCTTGTTGTGTCCTCTCTTTTATTTTTTATATTGCCTTCTCTCTTCCCCATGCACCCAGCAGCCCTCTTCCACCCAGCTCGTCTCTTCCACCCAGCATCTCTCTTCCACCCAGCAGCCCTCTTCCACCCAGCATCTCTCTTCCACCCAGCAGCCCTCTTCCACCCAGCATCTCTCTTCCACCCAGCAGCCCTCTTCCACCCAGCATCTCTCTTCCACCCAGCATCTCTCTTCCACCCAGCATCTCTCTTCCCCATGCACCCAGCAGCCCTCTTCCACCCAGCATCTCTCTTCCACCCAGCATCTCTCTTCCACCCAGCATCTCTCTTCCCCATGCACCCAGCAGCCCTCTTCCACCCAGCAGCCCTCTTCCACCCAGCATCTCTCTTCCACCCAGCAGCCCTCTTCCACCCAGCATCTCTCTTCCACCCAGCAGCCCTCTTCCACCCAGCATCTCTCTTCCACCCAGCATCTCTCTTCCACCCAGCATCTCTCTTCCCCATGCACCCAGCAGCCCTCTTCCACCCAGCATCTCTCTTCCACCCAGCATCTCTCTTCCCCATGCACCCAGCAGCCCTCTTCCACCCAGCATCTCTCTTCCACCCAGCATCTCTCTTCCCCATGCACCCAGCAGCCCTCTTCCACCCAGCATCTCTCTTCCACCCAGCATCTCTCTTCCACCCAGCATCTCTCTTCCACCCAGCTCGTCTCTTCCACCCAGCTCGTCTCTCTCACCCAGCATCTCTCTTCCACCCAGCATCTCTCTTCCACCCAGCATCTCTCTTCCACCCAGCCTCAGCGACTCTCACAGTCTTGTTTACATCATTACCATTCCTCTTGACACTCTCCTTTCCTCCTCTATTCCGCCTACTCAGGACGATACTGCCCCCCCTCTTTCCCTTTCGTCCCCCCCCTTCTCACAAATCTCCCGTTTCCTCGTCGTTAGTTGCCCCCTTCCCCCTTTTCCATAGCCCCGGGGGGGGGGGGGGTAGGAAGGGGGTGATATCCCTCTTCCAGACGACCTCCTCTTCCAACCGACACGCCTTAAACTAATTCTACCTTTCCCATCTCCGCCTTTTTTATTTCCATCTTCCCTCTCCTCCATACCCCAGTCCTCTCTCTCTCTCTCTCTCTCTCTCTCTCTCTCTCTCTCTCTCTCTCTCTCTCTCTCTCTCTCTCTCTCTCTCTCTCTCTCTCTCTCTCTCTAACGGATACATGTTTTCACGGGCGTAACGAGAGAGAATTTGAGTCTGGGGGAATGGGGGAAAAGTTTAGAGTGATGGGGGAATGAGTGGCTGGGTGGGGCGTGTATGGGTGTACAGCTGTGGCAGGTGGGTGAACAGGTGTAGCAGGTGTCCTGCATCACAAGGTAAGGGCGCTCGACCTTGGTGCCCAACAAAGGCTACTTGAGGCCCTTTTAAGCCCTTTTAAGCCAGACAAATCGATATATTAGTAGCCCGTTCTCTTGATTTGCCACTCCGTAAACAATCCAACCTCCTAATCTAACCAGAAACGCACGAACCCAAGCAACCCCACCTATAGTCTGATGCATAGAAAACGAAGTTGTATGTGAACCGTTACATTTTACAGTAAGAACTGTTACTTTTTAAAGTTGGAACCGTTACTTTTGAATGTTGTAACCGTCGACGGCTCATTTTCTGGTAATTTTTTTTTTAAATCTAGCGGCTATAGTCGCCTGGAACTTTAAAGGCGAAAGATGATATATTTGAGATGTGCTGCATTTTCCATGCCAGGCTGACAGCCACGTGAGGGTTAGGCCAAATGGAGGAGACTTAGTTTGAGAGGAGGCACGATACTTAAAGTGCTCACCAACGTTTGTTTCATCAATTAAACGTTGATATTTTCTCTAGACCAGAAGAGACACAATGGAACCGGACATTCACTTCTCATAGGAGAAGTATCACAGTGAAAAACAAAATATTCTGAAGAACCTTCTTGAGGTTATCTTGAGATGATTTCGGGGCTTTTAGTGTCCCCGCGGCCCGGTCCTCGACCAGGCCTCCACCCCCAGGAAGCAGCCCGTGACACCTGACTAACACCCAGGTACCTATTTTACTGCTAGGTAACAGGGGCATAGGGTGAAAGAAACTCTGCCCATTGTTTCTCGCCGGCGCCCGGGATCGAACCCGGGACCACAGGATCACAAGTCCCGCATGCTGTCCGCTCGGCCGACCGGCTCCCTTCCTTGCAAGACACACAGAGATCACACTAACGTGATGCATCAAATGATCCAGTAAGTTCAGTAGAACTTCGGTTTCAACTCTTTTACCCTGTCGTAGCTCAGTCGATTAAGGCAGTGTCTGAGATCCTCCCGGACGCAGGTTCGAATCCTCGTCACGAACCTTGTGGATTTGTTCTACCTTGCAGCAAGCTTTTTATGGGTGAAATGAGGCAGGTTCCGTCTTGTTGATGGACTACAGCTACCAACAATTCCTACATTCAATTTTAGGTGATATTTCAAGTGTCAAGAATGTTTGGAAAGACGCAGGAGTTTATTGGAATGATTATAGTTAACTCATTTACACATGTCATACCTAAATATGTATAGGAGTTTGTACTAAGCGCCAGACGAATATTACCAGCATTAATATATTTTTTTTACCTAAATCAGCGTTATAGCTGGTTTCATCACATATAAGAAAAAATTGGCTTCTACAATCAAACAATTAGAAACACCTTAATGGGATAAACAGGCTGGCTTTCGGATACACACACATACCAAAGATCACACACACACACACACACACACACACACACACACACACACACACACACACACACACACACACACACACACACACACACACACACACACACACAAAATAGTAGTTAGTAACAGTTGATTGACAGTTGAGAGGCGGGCCGAAAGGGCAGAGTTCAACCCCCGCAAGCACAACTAAATGAATACAACTAGGTGAATACACACACACACACACACACACACACACACACACACACACACACACCAAAGATCACAAAGCCTCATCACACAGCAGCGCTTTCATCTACAAAAGCTTTGCGCTCGTACATATATACGGATCTCAACCCTCAGTTTTTGAGTGGACAAACAATTAAACCTTGATATGAATTACATGCAAAGAGAGAATAAAAAAAAACTAAATTAACACAAGCTTCTCTCAGATACAAATAGGATTTTACATAATTTTGATACACTAATTACAGCATCAAACTGGGCTCCTTTGTGGTTGGAAACAGGGGGGGGGGTTAACTAAAGTTATTGGGCACACCTGCCGGGGAGAGACCTGTGGCTCTATCTTAATTCTGCAGAAGCTCTGTATTTCTGTTATGACTGTTGTATGACTGTTGTGGCTCTGTTGTATGACTGTTGTGGCTCTGTTCTTTGGCTGTTGCATGGTTGTTATGGTTCTGTTGTGACTGTTGTATGGCTGTTGTATGACTGTTGTATGGCTGTTGTGGCACTGTTGCATGACTTGTATGGCTGTTGTGGCTCGGTTGTATGACTGTTGTATGGCTGTTGTGGCTCTGTTGTGGCTATTGCACGGATTTTACGGTTCTGTTTTAACTGTGTTATGGCTCTGTTGTATGACTATTGTATGACTGTTGTTGCTCTATTATGGTTCTGTTGTGGCTGCGTTGACTGTTTTAAAGCTTTGGCTCCTGTGATTTTTCCCATTACGAGACTTATAGGCTCTATAATGGCCATTTCTATAAGGTACCATTGCCGATACAAATATTATCATCAGACACAACTAACATCACCGTAGTGAAATACGCAGCACCGGACTGGTATCCCCACCTTGTGAAGCATAAAGCCAAACATTGTATAATTACAAAGGTTTACAACAAGTACCAGGCCAAGGAGGGCTAAGCTATGAGGATAGGCTAAAGAAAGTACAACTCACAACCCAGGTTGAGAGAAGAAACAGGGACTATGATCACGACATACAAGATATTTTGGGAAAGTGGCAAGGTGGGGAGAAATTGGATATACAAACAAGCCCAAGAAATGCAAATAATTGGTCGTACACTGCACGTTTTGGTCTCGCCGATCGCTGATTCCGTGAGCGGGAGAATGATCAAGTGACGGAAGGACGGACGGAAGGTGGTTTGGACAAAGACCGGGCCGCGGGGACGTTGATCCCCGACATCACCACAAGGTACATGAAGTGAGGGAGTGAGAGCTTACCGACAGCGCCGCTGATGCCGTTGGCGGCGTAGCGTATCCCAACGCCATCCTCCCTCTTGAAGCGTATCTCTGGGGCCGGGTAGCCCTCGGCGCCACACCGCAGCTGCGCCGGAGAGTCCTCGTTCACCTCCACGTCCGTGCTGGTCTCCTCGTCCAGGATGTTGGGCGGCACTGTGAGGGGAGAGACGGTCACATGGAGGTCACAAGGTCATGTGTTGATGGGGGCAGGGAATGGGGTCATGGGGGAGGCCTGGTCGACGACCGGGCCGCGGGGACGCTAAGCCCTGGAAGCACCTCAAGGTATGTGGGGAAGGCGATATTAGCGACATAGCGGGTTCCGTATGGGTCTGTTATGGCAGACAGAAATACGAGGGCAAAGAATCTTCGTGTGGAGACATAGAGGAGAGACAGGCTGTTGTAGAGGCATAGAGGGGAGACCGGCTGTTGTAGAGGCATAGAGGGGAGACAGGCTGTTGTAGAGGCATAGAGAGAAGACAAGCTGTTGTAGAGGCATAGAGGGGGAGACAGGCTGTTTTGTAGAGGCATAGAGGGGAGACAGGCTGTCGTAGAGGCACAGAAAGGAGACAGGCTGTTGTAGAGGCATAGAGGGGAGACCGGCTGTTGTAGAGGCATAGAGGGGAGACAGGCTGTTGTAGAGGCATAGAGAGAAGACAAGCTGTTGTAGAGGCATACAGGGGAGACAGGCTGTTTTGTAGAGGCATAGAGGGGAGACAGGCTGTTGTAGAGGCATAGAGGGGAGACAGGCTGTTGTAGAGGCACAGAGAAGGGGAACAGATCATTTGTTGCAGAGGCAACCCTCTTTAGGGGGGTTTCTCAGTTCAGGGATGGATGGTAGAGAGGCGTCTCTACCACTGAAACATATTTTTCAAATGAGTATTTATTACAGAAATAAGAATTAATGTGTATGAAAATTATAAGTAGAGAAGTTTTAAAAGAATTTATGATTTAAGTTGAACATTAAAACGCATAAAGCACAGATATTTTATCTCAATTGTAGGGAAAGATGTTCTTGTTCAAGAAACAAAAAACACATTAAATGCGACTGTAAAATATTTACTTCCATAAAGACCCAAACCTTTGTGAAAAATGCGAGGAGTTTTTTTGAGGGAGAGGGGGGGGGGGTGGTTGTAAATCAAGACTGATATCCCAGCCTGTCTTCCCGATTTTCCACTCCGTGAGAAATATAACTTTTCCATTTAACCAGAAACTCACGAACCCAAACATCCCACTTAACCCACCGATACTTTTTTTTTTATAACAGATTAGTCGATTCCGTAAATAATGCGACATAATTAGTTAATGTAGACCAACTGATAAATTAATACAAAAAAAGTATTTTTTGACTCTTTTTGAGAGGGAATTCACAGAAAATAAACTTATTAAAACTACTATTTATCAAAAACCTTACAAACAAAAGTTTAGATTTCTGTTAAGATGGTGGAAATACTGTATTAATATAATTATCAAAAAACAAAAACAGTACGCTAATTCCCGCCAAACACACACCGAAACTACGACGTTGATACAACGTTCGAACAAGTTTTACCACCACCTAACCAGTTATAACAACCAATATAGCAAGTTGTAACAACGTTCTAATACGTCATAAACACGTTAAGCCAAGATGTAACAACTTTATTACAAGTTTTAATAAGCGGAAAATAGAGACAGTTTCGGTTTGTGTTTCCAGGGTTGTACCTTCAATGCGCACCAATTCAATGATCGTGTTTTGTCTGCGTGAACCATACAATATCGGGGGATTGAGTACATACTTAACAGTGATCATTATTGATATTATGACTGATGGTAATAGTGACATCATCACTATCACTCCCGACATTCACTATGGATTCATAACCGAGTGAGTTATTTTTAGCATTTGTGTTTAAATAATGGCGCCATTTGAACCCTCGGGTCATGTATTTTAACAGCAGTGGTAACACTGTTTTATCCAATAAACACAGTTGATGCCTAAACATGACTTCTAGAGGAATATATACACGCAACACATGTATACACGCAACACATGTATACGCACAACGCATGTATACATGGCCAAATACACAGAGATATACTCCCCGTTTTGTTCCTCAGAGGGAGAGTATGATAGACATTTGGAGGGTCTAATGCGTTTTAGACGAGATGTTGATGTGATGTCGCCCACTCTGGTGATGTCGCCCACTCTGGTGATGTCGCCCACTCTGGTGATGTCACCCACTCTGGTGATGTCACCCACTCTGGTGATGTCACCTACTCCGGTGATGTCCCATCCACTGTTACCTAGCAGTAAAATAGGTACCTGGGTGTTAATCAGCTGTTACGGGCTGCTTCCTGGGGGTGGAGGCCTGGTCGAGGACCGGGCCGCTGGGACACTAAAGCCCCGAAATCATCTCAAGATGACCTCAAGATGTTACCCACTCTAGTGATGTTACCCACTCTGGTGATGTCACCCACTCTGGTGATGTCGCCCACTCTGGTGATGTCACCCACTCTGGTGATGTCACCCACTCTGGTGATGTCGCCCACTCTGGTGATGTCACCCACTCTGGTGATGTCACCCACTCTGGTGATGTCGCCCACTCTGGTGATGTCACCCACTCTGGTGATGTCACCCACTCTGGTGATGTCACCCACTCTGGCGATATCGCCCACTCTGGTGATGTCACCCACTCTGGTGATGTCACCCACTCTGGTGATGTCACCCACTCTGGTGATGTCGCCCACTCTGGTGATGTCACCCACTCGGGTGATGTCGCCCACTCTGGTGATGTCACCCACTCTGGTGATGTCGCCCACTCTGGTGATGTCACCCACTCTGGTGATGTCACCCACTCTGGCGATATCGCCCACTCTGGTGATGTTACCCACTCTGGTGATGTCACCCACTCTGGTGATGTCGCCGTGTTAGAGTAGTGAAGCTCTAAGACAACCCAATTCCAATTTTCTCAGAGAATTGGGTTCTAGGCTCAATGACACAACCAGAGACCAAAAAGCTGCTAGTTTCAGCATGTCAGTGTGGCGAACCAAAGGGGAAACGCCTGTTGTGTCCTCAGTTCCTGTCTGGAAGGTGAGGAGCTCTAAGAGCTCCACAACTTTTAACCTTCCATAGTATTCACAAACTTTTAACTGAATAATAAACGCAAAATAAGCCAAAAATAATGGGAGTGGTAAGACATAATGTTTTGTGTGTGGGTTCGATCCCCGGCGGAGGCGGAAACAAATAGGCGGAGTTTCTTTTGCCCTGATGCGTCTGTTCAGCTAGCAGTAAGTACGTACCAAGGAGTTAGACAGCTACTACGGGCGGCTTCCTCGGGGGTGTATAACAAAAAGAAGGCCTGGTCGAGGACCGGGCCGTGGGGGACGCTAAGCCCCCGAAATCATCTCAAGATAACGTAAAGATAACCCTATCGGCCTCAACGGGTTGAGACCGTTTGGCTCATGAAGAAAAAATAACTTCTTTCTCTTTGCAAAAAAGCCACATTAGGTGGAGTAAGCATCACAGCATCCAGAGATGGAACAATCCGACACACACACTAATTACCTCCAACGTAGGGTCAGCCTCCAGTAGGGTCAGTCCAGCAACCAGGAGGCCTGGTCGACGACCGGGCCGCGGGGACACTAAGCCCCGGAAGCACCTCAAGGTAAGGTAGGGTCGTTAGTTTCTCTATGAACACACACAGTATCCACCAATCCTTTTACCCCACATGCCACCCAGATACTCTACCACCCACCTGCCCTCTATACTATACCCACCTGCCCACCTGGCCACATTTCTATCAGCACGACACCACCCACCACTCGTCTTTCGACCTCGAAAACCACCTATCAATCAATCTCACCATTCATCTGACCACATGACGAACCATCTAACATTACTACAGTTCTCCCACCTACCTCACCAGCCACCTACCTCACCACCCACCTACCTCACCATCCACCTACCTCACCAGCCACCTACCTCACCAGCCACCTACCTCACCACCCACCTACCTCACCATCCACCTACCTCACCAGCCACCTACCTCACCACCCACCTACCTCACCACCCACCTACCTCACCATCCACCTACCTCACCATCCACCTACTATCCCAAACAAAAGGGCCCAAAGTTAGCTTGCTGTGTCCCTTTAAGGTGAAGTATCAGTAATAATTTAGAGACAGACTTTCCGGTCATCTCCTTAGCGTGGCTGGGCGATCTCTCTCCTCTCACTCTTAGACCTACACACACTTCAGACTCTCATATTTCCAAATGCCTTTATTCGTGTTTACATTTCAGTGTTTGTGTGTGTGTGTGTGTGTGTGTGTGTGTGTGTGTGTGTGTGTGTGTGTGTGTGTGTGTGTGTGTGTGTGTGTGTGTGTGTAACCGTAACTATTTGCTATTTTGTAAAGACTATTTGCGCCTTCAGCGATTATACGAAATTCTGCTGAAATACTACTCTACAGCTCTGCTTGAATTATCGAAAGTTCTACTTGAATCACACAAAGTTCTACTTGAATCACACAAAGTTCCGCTTGAATCACACAAAGTTCTGCTTGAATCACACAAAGTTCCGCTTGAATCACACAAAGTTCCGCTTGAATCACACAAAGTTCCGCTTGAATCACACAAAGTTCCGCTTGAATCACACAAAGTTCCGCTTGAATCACACAAAGTTCTGCTTGAATCACACAAAGTTCTGCTTGAATCACACAAAGTTCTGCTTGAATCACACAAAGTCCTCCTTGAATCACACAAAGTTCTGCTTGAATTATCCAAGCTCCGAGCATCCCGAAATTCTAATTTATTTGAATTATCAACGATTCCGCTCAACTGTTACAAAATTCAAGGCCTCCGGGGTTTAATCCCAGCTATTTTTGTTCCCCAGGGTAATCCAAATCAGTAATTAATGAGTTCTGAGACGTGGGCTTTGTTCCCGGAAAGGTGCACAAAGCCCAGTTTATCCTGGACCAAGGCAAGACCAACATAATTTATGAGACTCCGCTTTGTGCTTGGCCAAGACTAGATTAATATATTCCTACGTGTTCCTTGGTAGAGTTAACTACTGCATACTTATTATTATTATTATTTTCAATTATTTAATTATTGTTTTTTTGTTTATTATTATTAATAGTAGGCATCAGGGGTCTCATGAGACCGTTGAGTTACGCT